AATGGAAAGCTTGCTGAGAGGCACGAAGAATAATGATTAGGTAAGGAGAATGGGTATTAGGCCTAGTGGGCAGATATGGACAGCCTAGGCCAAGAGAAGAGAAGGTAGACTGTGGACTTCCCTAAGGTGGGGAATTGGAAAAATGGTGCTTACAGAAGGAGGTGGGGGGCTCCAGATAGATTGACGTGGGAACTGCTCAGTTGAGAGGGAGTGGAAATGGGCTCTATGCCCTGCTACAGGCAGCAGGTAGACCAGATATCTGGAAATGGCTGTGCTGTCAGCACAAGTGTGTGGCTTTTTTTGTCCTGGAAGTCGCCATACTGGTATTTTTTGTAGGGCACCAAGGATGGGCCTGGAAGTTGAAGACAATGTGGGCCTATTTGATGAAGGTGGGTATAGTTATCAGGAAACAAGCTGTCCAGATATTTGAGGACATCTCTAGAGTTCCTAGAGCCAAGAGTCCCAAGAGAAATACCTCATTTCTCCCCCAATATTCCATAATTCTATTCATACTTTAATTTTTTTTTATTCTGAGAGAGAGGGAGAGCAAGAGCATGTGAGAGCATGGGAGGGGCAGAGACAGAGAGAGAGAGAGAGAGAGAGAGAGAGAGAGAGAGAATCCCAAGCAGGCTCCACACTGTCAACACAGAGCCCATTGTAGGACTCGAACTCACAAACTGAAAGACCATGACCTGAGCCAAAATGAAGAGTCAGACATTTAACTAACTGAGCCACCCAGAGGCCCCCATACTTTCATTTTTTTAAGTTTATTTATTTATTTTGAGAGAGAGAGTGCAGGGAAAGGGCAGAGAGAGGGGGAAAGAGAGAATCCCAAGCAGGCTCTGCACTGTCAGTGCAGTGTCAGTACAGAGACGTGCGGGGCTTGAACTCACGAACTGTGAGATCATGACCTAAGCTGAAATCAAGAGTCAGACACTTAACTGACTGAGCCACCCAGGTGCTCCCCCCATCCTTTCGTTTTAACAGCTTTATTGAGATATATTTCATATATCATACAATTCACCCATTTAGCATATACATTTCATAGAGACATGGAACTATCACCACAGTCAATTTTAGAACATTGTCATCACCTTAGAAAGAAATCTCTGGGGCGCCTGGGTGGCTTAGTCGGTTAAGCGTCCGACTTTCGCTTAGGTCATGATCTCGCGGTTCGTGGGTTCGAGCCCCGCGTCGGGCTCTGTGCTGACTGCCAGCTCGGAGCCTGGAGCCTGTTTCAGTCTGTGACTCCCTCTCTCTCTGACCCTCCCCTGCTCATGCTGTCTCTCTCTCTCCTAGAAATAAATAAAACATTAAAAAATTAAAAAAAATAAAATTATTTAAAAAAAAAGAAAGAAATCTCTGTCTGGATACTTCATATGAACGGGATCAAATAATGTGTCTTTTATGATTGGCTTCTTTCACTTAGAGTCATACTTTCAAGAGTCATCCACGATGAAGCATCTATTGGTACTTTATTCTTTTCTTACAGCTGAATAATATCCTATTGTATGGATATAAGACATTTTTATCCATTTATCATTTGATGGACATTTGGGTTATTTCTGTTTTGGCAATTACGAATAATACTGCTATGAGCATTTGTTTGCCAGTTGTTGTGTGGATATATGTTTTCATTTTTCTTGGGTATATACCTGGGAGTGGAGTTGCTGGGTCATATGGTAGCTCTGTGTTTAATTGTTTGAGAACTACCAGATTGAGATCATGGTCTTTTAATTAACTTAAAAATTGTACCTGTTCTTTGGAAAATATTTTAAAATTCAGAAGATGCTGAGGATAGAAACATTTACTTCCACTACTCAGAGAATATCCTCGTGAGATACTTTTCTGTGCATATTGGTTTTTTTTTTTAAATAGTTTATTGTCAAGTTGGTTTCCATATAACACCCAGTGCTCATCCCTACAAGTGCCCTCCTCCGTGCTCATCACCTCCCTTCCCCTCCCCCATGTGCATATTGTTTTTAATAGGACCACCATTGGCATAATATTTTGTAGCCCATATTGTGAACATCTTTTCGTGTCAATAATTATTTTCATCAGTGAGTTTCAACTTTCTTTTACTCTAGGAACTCTGTCTTCAAAAGACCATTTTCTGAGAGCCCAATATATAATCATTCAAATATCAACAATTACTTATTGGGCCCCTGTTGGATGCCAAGCATCCCTACCTGCCCCCATGCCCATTTCTTTATTTATTTATCTTTAATGTTCATTTATTTTTGAGAGAAAGAGAGAGAGAGACAGCGTGAGCAGGGGAGGGGCAGAGGGAGAAGGAGACACAGAATCTGAAGGAGGCTCCAGGCTCTGCACAGAGCCAGACTCAGGACTCAAACTCACGAACTGTGAGACTGTGACCTGAGTTGAAGTCAGATGCTTAACTGACTGAGCCACCCAGGCATCCCATGCTCATTCTCTTTAAAAGTGGCAGTTATTACACAGTATAGAGGAGTCACCTCATTAGCTACTCCCCTGTCAGAACACCCAGCTTGCTGTCTGCATTTCACTGTTACTAATGATGACTCAGTGAACAAACATCTGTGTGTACTTTTATCATCTTTAAGAGAAATCCATAGAAGTGGGATATGGGGTCAGAGGCCTACCTTGGACTTGACCTATATGAGGTGCCTGGAGATGAGAGGAGAGGCAAATGACTAGGTCCCTGTTCTTCAGCTCAGTCAGCCTGGGGGAATGACATTCAGGAAAGAGAAAAAGAGATTTCAATAAATAAAGCTCATATCTTGCAATAGTTCCTTTTTTGGAATTCATTCTGTGTATACCTGCCACATCAATGTAAAAACAAATAACCTAAATGTTTAGCATTAGGGAATTATGAGTAAACATAGGCCTTTCTGGTACTAATATGGATCCATCTCCAAGTAAAAGAAAGCAAAGGGTAAAACAAGGTTTCACATACTGTTTGTTATATTTGTAAACATATGGACATATGTTTGTACATATATAGACCTGCCCTGCCCACTATGGTAGCCACTAATCCGATGTGGTTATTGAGCACTTGAAATGTGGCAAGACCAAGCTGAGATGTGCTGTGAGTGTAAAATGCACATTGGATGCTGAGACCTGGTACGAAAACAAGTATCTAAAATATCTGATTAGGGGCATCTCATCTCACATTTCATGCGTGGGATCGAGCCCCGCATGGGGCTACCTGCTGGGAGCTGGCTTGGGATTTTCTCTTCCTCTCTCCCTCAGTCTTTTTCCACTCATGTGCTCGCTTGCTCTCAAAATAAACTTTCAAAATAAAATATCAAATTAATAATTCTTATATTGATAATATATTTAAATAACATTTTGAATATATTAGGTTAAATAAAATATTAAAACTTCAGCTGTTTCTTTTTATATTTTTTAATGTGGCTACTAGAAAATTTTAATTTTTTTTAATGTTTTTTTTTATTTCTAGGAGAGAGAGAGAGAGAGACAGCGTGAGCAGGGGAGGGTCAGAGAGAGAGGGAGTCACAGACTGAAACAGACTCCAGGCTCTGAGCTGGCAGTCAGCACAGAGCCCGACGCAGGGCTCGAACCCACGAACCGCGAGATCATGACCTAAGCGAAAGTCGGACGCTTAACCGACTAAGCCACCCAGGCGCCCCGGCTACTAGAAAATTTTAAATCACGTATATGGCTCATATTTGTGCCTCCCATTATGTTTCTATTGCCTAGGACTGTAACAGACTATCTCCAGAATATGCACCAAGTTTATAATAGTGACTGCATCTGTCCTGAAGGTTTGTGTGGGGTGGGAGACTGACTTTTCACTGCTGTTGTTGGGGGTGGGGATATCATGTGCTGGGTTGATTTTGAAAATGCAACCCTTCAGTTTTATTTCTGGTCTTTGAAGTAGGAGGCCTCATAGACTGTCTCCTCCCCCGACTCCCCCATCCTGGGGACAGCCACAGCCTGGACTGTGAGTAGTGGCTAGAGGTTGGGAGCTGGACCCTTGATCCAGGGTGGATGAACCTGAAACCTCAGCCCAGTCCAGCACTAAGCATAGCGCCTGACACATCACAGAAGCTGGGCAAAATGTTGGGAGAAGGAAAAGTCATAAACCCCACCCTCCTCTTCACTCCTCTCCAGTAGGACTGGGGTCTTTGCATCCCCTTCTTCCACAAGTCCCCTAGCCACCCAACCCCCTATGCCAGGCCCTCCTTTCTAGCACTCCCGCCCACTGTACCTTTCCCTTGGGAAAAAGGTGCAAAGCTTCAGCTCCTGCTTTCCCTCCAGCCAGAGGTCAACTCTTCGTTGGGAGACGGGATGCAAAAGCAGCTTAACCACCCATTCGATTTTGGGTGCAGCCTTCCGGGTCTCATTCCAGGAAAGCGGGATTGCTGGAAAGTGATTAGTTATAAGATGCTCGGTATAAACTAGTGATAAATTCAGTTTCCCTGGTCATCAAAGACACACCGGTTAAACAGTGTGATGCCATTGACATCACATTAGCCAAACCGTCAATGGGTATGCTTCCATAATTGTGTTCGTAGACATCTTCTTCGCTAAGGTGTCTACCAGCCGCCCAAACCTATGGCTAGGTCAGGCATTAAAGCCTCCTCTGAGGCTACTGGAGAAAATTAGACCCCGAGGGGTCCCCTGTATCGTAGGCCCTCACCTTGGGTCTACCTCGTGTGCGAGGGGCAAAGGGCGAGGAGGAGCAAAGGGCGAAGGAAGAGGGGAGGATCGGCTTGACAATTATGCTTTAGGGACACTCCGCGCTGTTAGTCGCGAGCGCAGGGAGGCTGCAGGAGCGCCTGGGGTGAATTTCTGCTCCACCACTCGCCCAGTGTGACCTTGAATGAGTTAATGAACTTCTCCACGCTTCAACGTCCCGGTCGATTGAGTGACAAACCCAGACCGCACCGCGTAGCTTTGTCTGGCAAACTCCGGGAGTGGAGCCTCTCACGGTACCTACCGGTGAGTGTAGGTGATGTTAAATCTCTTGGGGTGGGGGGGGTCCTTCTGAGGCCACCCTAGCGGGTGTTGCTTCCTCAGGGACCCTCTCGGCCGGGGGTATGTAACTCCAAACCACATCCCGAGAAGCAGAATTTGGGAAGCCAAGATTCTCGAGTCCTGGCTGGAGAGGCGGGGGGTGGCGCGTGGGGGCTCAGGAGAAACCGCAGTCCCAGAGCCCCAACCAAAGCCTGGAACTCGGCGGGGCCCGGCTGGCCAGCCTCCGCGCCTTTCACCCCGCGGGCCCCGCCCTCAGTCCCGCCCTCCCCTAACCAGAGCCCCCATTGGTGGCGTCCGGCGGCGCGGCCGCTGTTATTTTTCGAATATATAAGGAGGTGGAGGTGGCAGCTGCTGCTTAGAGGCTTCCCGGACTAGTGGCTGGTCCCTGCATCCCTCCACCCCGCCCCACCCTCCCCGCTTCCCCCTCCTCCCTCGCTTCGGCCCCGTGGCTCTTCTTCCCTCCCTCCCCCCTCCACCCCGGGCCCGCTCCCCGCCTCGTCCCCGCCAGCTGTGCTCGGCGTCGCCCTGCGCCCGGCCCTCCGGCCAGCCTTCCGCGGGCCACGCCGCGATGGAGCTGCCCCAGCCCGAGCCCGCGCCGGGCTCGGCTCTCAGTCCGGCCGGCGTGCGCGGTGGCGCCGAGCGTCCCGGACACCTCCGGGGCCTCCGGCTGGAAGCTCATGGCCTCGTGGGGTCCCCGGAGCGCGCGACCGCTTCCTCGCCGGTCACCACCCTCACCCAGACCATGTACAACCTCGCCGGGCTGGGCAGGTAGGGCGCCCCACCGACGCGGGGTGCGGGGTGAGAGGCCCGCGCTAGGGTGTTGGTCCCTGGCGCGGGAGTCGAATCCGAGAGGCGGAGTGGGGAGGTGTCCTGGGTAGAGCCTGCTTCAGGGACGCGGGACCAGGGCGATGACACCAGGTCTTTGCTGCTCACACCCTCCAGGTGACTTGCTCTTGGCAGCAGAAGCCTCTGAAGACGACTATCCTCCGTACCCCCCCCCCAATGTTCCCACCATGCTGCCTCTCTAATCTATGCCCTAATCACCACTATTTTGCCCCAGGCAGGGGATCCTGAGCTTGGAGTTGGAACCTGAGGGTGGCAGAGCAGCCTGGTTCTCCTATGACCATGGCCCTGCTCCCTCCACCCCTAGTTCTTGCCAGGGGTTAAGGGATTAAACAGTGGTCCTGCTTCCTGAACAGGCGTGCAGTGTCCAGGCTGGGTTGCTCTCAGCCGCAATAGAGACCAAGTATTGACCCTTTTTCGAGAAAGGCATGTGGATGGGTAGGGGTCTGAAGAGCTCCCAGGAAGGCCCTCCAGGGCTCCTCTGCTGCCCTGCCATTCCTGAGAGTAGCCCCCAGCTTAGCCTCTTGCTCTTGCCCTGGGCTCACTTCTTTCTTAATCAACGAAGACACTTAGGGCCTCTGCAGAAGGCCCAGCGAAGAGGGTAGGCCCTCAGTGCCATCACCTCCCTGGGGCAGTGGTGGGCCCTTCAGAGGTGTGGCTGGTGGGAACATGGGCCAGCCAGCTCTTGAGCCCCACATTTACCTTTCTCCTTCTCTGGGTCCCTGTTGCCTTCCCAGTGAGACCCCAAAGAGTCAGGTAGGCAGCCTGCTCACACGTCTATCCCTGTCTCGGAGGCGAGCATCTGAATCTTCCCTGTCGTCTGAGTCTTCTGAATCTTCTGATGCAGGTGAGGCTCAGGGGACGGGGGGGTTTGGGGGGGCTGCCTGAGTCTTCCCATTTCCCTGCCTATCGGACTAACATTTCCCCTACAGCCAGGAGCCTCCACCTGCCCACTTCTAGTGGGGTTTACCACACCCAGCCCCGACTGGCTGAGCGGGCTGTAGGGCGGGGCCCACTTGGGGAGAGGAGATCTTACCTATTTAAAACTAGGCGCCAAAGTCCCTGAACCACAGCCCCACCTGGGAGGCATTAGGGCTGAAACTTGGTCATTTTATAACATTCACTTGCCTTCAGCTATAGCCTTTTCTTTAAAAAGCCATTATCTCATCTAGAACAAATTACTTTAAGCCAGTTCAAGAAAAATGGTTAGCAAAGTTTTGGTTTAAAAACCTATACAGAGGAAGGGCACCTAGTGGCTCAGTTGGTTAAACTTCAGACTCTTGATTTCAGCTCAGGTCATGATCTCAAAGTTCTCCATGCTGACAGCACACAGCCTGCTTGGGATTCTGTCTCTCTCCCTCTCTCTGCCCCTCCCTCGCTCTCATGCACACTCTATCAAAATAAATAAATAAACTAAAAAAGCCCCAAAAGCCTATACAGAGAAGTTTCTACAGTAAACAGGAAGTGGAGCCCGGCACAATTGAGGGGGGGCAGTGTGTCAGCCCTTGGGGTCCATGGGTGGGTTTTTGTTTCATTTTTTTAATGTGTCAAGATCTAAAATAGAAACAGGTTTTTCCTTTTTCTGAAGAGGGTTGGGACATGGTGGGGGTAAGTGTGCAGAAGATGGGCACTAGTTTCAAACCAAGGTACTCTGTCCCCCCAGGTCTCTGCATGGATTCTCCCAGCCCCATGGACCCCCAGATGGCAGAACAGACGTAAGTACAGAAAAGGGATCTCCACTGGGGCACCTGAGTGGCTCAGTAGGTTGAGCATCCGACTCTTGATTTTGGCTCAGTCATGATCCCAGCGTTGTGGGATCAAGCCCTTTATCAGGCGGAGTTTGGAGCCTGCTTAAGATTCTCTCTCAAAAAAAGAAAGAGAGAGAGAGAGAAAGAAAGAAAGAAAAAGAAAAAAAAAAGAGAAAGAAAAGAGATCCCCACTACCAAGGAGTTGGTACCTGCCTTTGGGAACCCCAGTTTCAGCCACTGGGAGAAGCCTGGGAGAATGCCCAGACCCCTCCTATCCCCATTACTAACTGACCTTCCCAAGTCCTAAGATTCTGCTTCCTGTCTCAGAAAAGGGTCTGCTCCCATAGGAGTGGCTGACTGTGGTCTCAGGGCCAGGAAGTAGGGAGAATGGCTTCTGGAGCACCGGAAACTTCAGCCAGCCCTCCTTGGCTTGTGGGAATACAGGCCTGGTGTGTGTCCTATTTTTCTTTGGCCTATACAGATGTTTGTTATTTTTTTCCTGTGAAATATCACAACTTTAAAATATGGTCCGATTGATTCAAAACTTTGAATTTGCTAGACCAAACAAAACCACTGTGGCAGCCATGGGCCATCTTATCAGCAACCTCTGGACCAGGAGCTTTATAAGAGAGAGTGGAGAGAGTTCTGCTGAGGCCAGATCCTTCCCCCTTGGTTGTGGGGCATGAGTAGTGTCTTCCAGACCACAGCTATTCCCATCCAGCTGTTAGAGCCCCAGCAGGGAAAGCAGCTGCCAGGCCTTCGTGGGGACAGCTGGGCATCCCCAGACTGGGCTGAGGGACTATGGCTTTGGGGTTAGAGCAGTGGTTGTCTTTCCTCCCACAGCTTTTGATCAGACTGGGCTGGGCTACAGGGTTTGTTCACAAACAGGAAACAGGGAGAGAAATGGGTGGGGGTGGGGGGACTGCAGGTTGGCTTTTGGTGGCAACACAGAACTGTCCCTGCTTTACTCCCAAGGTCCAGGTGCAGACTGGAAATGAAGCCAATGAAATAGGTCATTCCTGATGCCAGGTTGTCTGGGCACAACCCCTCCCCACCCCTGGGAGTCGGTCGCCCTGACACTAGCCCTCAGTGGCCCCCCCACCTCTGCACCTGCTGTGACGGTTACAGTTTCTCAGAAAGAAGCATGTGTGTGCGCGCGCCTGCATTCGCATAGACGCACAAAAGCCTTGCGTGGCAGGTGGTCTCTGGTAACATAGCTAGGGGGTGGGGCCTATCTACAGAAGCTTGTGCCCAGCCTCAAAAGGAACATCTGTTGGAATTCTTTGCCTGCTGGCCTCTTCTAAGGCAGGAGAAGGGGGTGGGACAGAGGCTGGGTCCTGGAAAATTCCAGAGGAGGGAGGAGAGGATGTGACCCTGAACATTTGTCACTAGGGGGTCTGGCATGGCACACTGTGGCTGATCCAGGGGCACACTAAACTAGGCCCCTGTCCTGGAGGGAGCCAGGAGCACCCCACACAATGGGAGGGAAGGCATCCAGGCTCTGGAGATATCCACATTGTTGGCCACAGCCTGTCATCATGGGATGGATGGATGCCTTTCCTGGCCACCATATGGCCCCGCTGAGGTGATTTGCATACAGGTGGAAGGCCTGTGGGCAGGCTGGCGAGACCGTTGCCTTGGTAGCGCCTCAGCAACCCTGTGACCTGCCCCAGCTGTCTCTATTGCTGCCATTCTCTGGGCCCCCTTCCATTCAGGGCAGCCTTCACAATCCCAGGCTGCTTCTCATCTCCCCCTTCCCCAATACCTGGACCCCCTCCCTGCGTTCTTCCCTCCACTGTTTACTGGCCCGAGTCCTGGCCCCCAGGTCTTGTGGACAATGTGCTGTAGTAGGAGGTAGGCCGCATAGGAGTTTTCTCTCTCCTAGGTTTGAACAGGCCATCCAAGCAGCCAGCCGGGTCATCCGAAAGTAAGTGCTCCAGACTTCCTCAGGCTCTGGTAGTCTACCTACCACAGGCTCTGTCCATTCCTCCCCCCTCCCCCCGCCCATTGGATGGAGTAGGCTCAGGGAGGGTGCTGTTCCATTCTCTCCCACAGGGATGCATAGGGCTGTGTGGTGGAGTGGCACCATGCCTGCTCTCCTGCACAGACCCCTACTCTCCAGCCCTGACATATCCCCCGTTTCCTCCTGCAGCGAGCAGTTTGCCATTCGACGCTTCCAGTCCTTGCCGGTGAGTGCCCTCTGAAGCCTGGCGCTGGAGACTCAGGCGTTGGCCATTGGCCGGGCTTGAGGAGGGGCAGGAGGGATCCAGGGTCACCTCCTAGAGGGTGGACTTCAAATGGTCTGGTGTCGCAGGTCTGGCTGTGGGAGACGGGGTTTGGGAGGGGGATGGGCCAGCTGGGGGAGTCGGAGGCGGGATGGGAGAAGGTAGGGCCAGGGCTGGTGCCAGAGGAACGCAGCCTTCAGTGCCTGCTGCCCTACCTGGCTCTCTAGGTGAGGCTTCTGGGCCACAGCCCTGTGCTACGGAACATCACCAACTCCCAAGCATCTGGCAGCTGGAGGAAGAGCGAGGCGTGTGGCCGAGCTGCCCGCAGCTCTGGGGAGGACAAAGAGAATGTGCGCGTCCAGAAGGCTGGAGTGGGAGCACTTCAGGGAGAGAAGGGGGTGCGCTGGGGTGATTCTCTGGCCTTTGATGACACTTCCCCCCATCTTGCCCACAGGATGGATTTGTTTTCAAGATGCCATGGAAACCCTCACATCCCAGCCATGCCCATGCTTTGGAAGAGTGGGCTGAGCGAAGAGAAGCCTTTGCCCAGAGACCAAGCTCAGCCCCCGACCTAATGGTACATCAGGGGAGCCAAACAGCGCAGGGAGGGCTTGTATGTAGAGGGGGTGCCCGAGGGTGCCCCTGAAGGCAGCCTGGGGGAAGGGGGAGGGTGATCCTGAGGCAGTGGGAACGTTTTCTCAGAAGGATGTGGTTGGGGGCTGCCTGGGGTCCCCCCCAGCCTGAGTAGCTTGTGTCTGCCCCCTGCCTAGTGTCTCACCCCTGAGCGGAAGATGGAAGTAGAGGAGTGGAGTCCCCCAGCCCGATCCCGCTTCCCGCTAACTGCCACCCAGGGGGCCTCTGAGGAAGATGATGGATTTGTGGACATCCTAGAGAGTGACTTAAAGGTACCCAGTCTTTCCCCAGCATCTCCCAAAAGAAGAAAGCACTGACCTCCTGCAGGGAGACTATGCTGGTCATTCCGATGACAGAAGAGGAATTGGAGCTCGTGGAGTCACAGCCTGACCTGTGGCCTACCAGAGACTAGCCGGCCGCTGGTGCTGGGGATGCAGTGAGGGAGGGCACTGCAGGGAGGAGGGGAAGCCTGGCCCTCCACCATGGCCACACTTCTCACGGTTCTGGAAAGCCCCTACAGCAAGTGGGACCCTGAAATTTCCTGGTTCTGGTTCCATGGCCAAGGAGGGCCATGCTGGAGGACTTGGGGCCTAAGCGGTTTGGCCTTTGCCTGTGTGTTAACCATATCCTTGCTGATTTGGCCTCAGGATGACAATGCGGTCCCCCCAGGCATGGAGAGCCTCATTAGCGCCCCACTGGTCAAGACCTCAGAAAAGGCGGAAGAGCAGGTGGGTCTGGGGAGGGGGGCCCTCTCAGAACTTGGAGGGGTGAGACCCTACCCTCCACGTGGGGTTGGTAGGGGGCAGGGGCTGGACACTCTGACCCCCGACCTGTCACCTCTACCAGGACCTCATCATGTACAGCAAGTGCCAGCGGCTCTTCCGCTCTCCGTCCATGCCCTGCAGCGTGATCCGACCCATCCTCAAGAGACTGGAGCGACCCCATGACAGGGACCTGCCCATACAGAACAAGCGGAGGAGGAGTGTGACCCCTTCCGAGGAGCAACGGGAGGCTGAGGAACCTGTGGGTGCTCCCTCCACCCCCCCCACCCTGGGGTGGGGCTGGGCGGCCACTGTCCAAGTCCACCCTGCAAGCCCTTCTTGGCTGGGCTTGCGGCAGAGGGCAGGGTGCAGGGAAAGAAGTACCAGCTGAATGGGGCACTGAGGGGCAGCCTCGCCCCTGATCCTGGCCACCATCCACCCCACAGAAAGCCCGTGTCCTCCGCTCAAAGTCCCTTTGTCACGATGAGATTGAGACTATCCTGGACAGTGACCACCGAGAACTGATTGGGGACTACTCCAAGGTACCAGCACTGGAGACCCCCCCAGCAGACTTGACCCCTTACTGTGTGGCCCTCCAAGCTCAGCAGCTGCTTTGGCACCTTTCTCTCCCCTCCCAGCCCCCCCCTCCCCCCCCCCCCCCCCCCCCCCCCCCAGTGCTTTGTCCTTTGCCGCTTATCCTTTATTCTTACCTAGACTCCTCTCTCTGGCTCTTTGGTCTTCTGACTCTACATCAAATCTGTCTGGAGCATCAGTTGTGTTTCAACCTTGGAAAACATTTCTGAACTAACATCTAGCTTGGAGCCTCCTCTGGCCTCATCCAGGGGTGCGACAGAGTATGGGGGAAGGAGACAGGGAGTTCATGTCTTCTGTTCCCTTCTTCATGCCCCTTGGAAAGGGGTCATTCCCTGGAGGTCAGACCCAGGAGGCACCTCTTGGTTGCTATGGGAACCAGAGCTAATCAGAAGGTCAAAGCCGGTGTGGCCCCTCTATGCTTAGAAACTCCATCCTTTCCTGGCTCCTACTCTTGCCAGTTTCACCCTTTTTCCTCCTCTCTCTCTTTCTCCCCTCTCCCTTTTTCAGTCTCTCTCTCCTCTTCCCTTCAGGCTTTCCTTCTGCAGACAGTGGATGGGAAGCACCAAGATCTCAAGTACATCTCACCAGAAACGGTATGTGGGGATGAGCCATTCTCCAGGCACACTTGGGATGGCTCTTTGCCTGTTACCCTTTTCTGGCTGCAAAAGGGCAGAGCAGCAGTAGGGTTGGGGGCAGCTCCCGCCTGTCAGCCTGACCTGTCGGGACCCACCTCTGTGGCCCACAGATGGCAGCCCTGCTGGCAGGCAAGTTCAGCAACATCGTGGAGAGGTTTGTGATTGTGGACTGCAGGTACCCCTATGAGTATGAAGGCGGGCACATCAAGGTAAGGCGGGCTGATGAGGACAGGCCCTGAAGACCCACCAGGTCTGTCCTTCCTCTGCGGGGAGGGTGACTCAGGGGAGGGCGGCTGCACCCTCTCGTAGGGAAGGATCCTGCCCAGTAAGTGGTGGGGTCACCTGTCTGAACGTTGGGGAGTGCATAGGGAGGGCCCTGCCACCCAGGCCCCGGGCTGCAGCCTGACCTCTAGCTCCTCTGGCAGACTGCCGTGAACCTGCCCCTGGAACGGGACGCTGAGACCTTCCTGCTACAGAGCCCCATCACGCCCTGTAATCTGGACAAGAGAGTCATCCTCATTTTCCACTGTGAATTCTCATCTGAGCGCGGTCCCCGCATGTGAGTCAGCCAGCTAGTGTCTGCCCCTGACCTTCTCTGCCTAGGCTACGGGATGCTGGAGCTGTCTGATGCACAGGAGGCCCGAGCCCAGCCCCAGCCCCTCCTAGACCTGGGCCTCTGGTCTCCTGGCAGCATGGAGCAGATCTTAGCCTCCCTCCCTGTGCATGGCACCCTCCTCCTACATCCCTCTCTCCGTCCTCCCCATCAGGCCTCATGTCTACCCACCATCCATTGCTACCCTCCCCCCCACCCCCAACCAAGATCCTGGTTCTAAGTCTCTGGAAGTGTCCGTAACATTCAAGGGCCCTGTCCCAAGCCTCAGTGATATTGATCCTTCTAGGGTTTGACTGATCTTTCTTCTCCCCACCTCTTATCCTCACCAGATCTTATCACCTCTTGAACAGATCTCTACAATTTTGTCCGCTTCTCTACTTTCTGCTCCCCCCTTTCTTGGTCCAGGTCAGATATCTCTAACAAAGATTGTGAACTGTCTTCTAGAAACAACTCCCTTGATTTACCTCCTTCCTTCCATCTCCCCAACCTTTTCTGGACCCAGTAGCCTGATGATCTACAAGTGTTCTTGTGGCTGACATTCCTTTACTCTTGTGGTTGACGTTACTTTACTTCTGTGTGCGCCCCCCCACCCCCCGCATGGCCCACAAAGGGGTGGGCACAAAGAACAGGTCCCCTGAGGTATATCTCGCCAAACACCCCTCTGACTCCCACACCCCTTCTGGCCCCAGGTGCCGTTTCATCAGGGAGCGCGACAGAGCTGCCAACGACTACCCCAGCCTCTACTATCCTGAGATGTACATCCTCAAGGGTGGCTATAAGGAGTTCTTCCCGCAGCATCCGGTACCATAGTGTGCAGCAGGGTTGGACTGTAGGGAATGGGCTCCTCCCAAGGAGAAGGGAGGTCTCCTCCCAGAGTTAACCATTTCCCCATATTGATTGATCCTCCCATCCTGCCCTAGACCTTCTGTGAGCCCCAGGACTACCGGCCCATGAACCATGAGGACTTTAAGGATGAGCTGAAGACCTTCCGCCTTAAGACACGCAGCTGGGCTGGGGAGAGGAGCCGCCGGGAGCTCTGTAGCCGCCTGCAGGACCAGTGAAGACCAGCACCGGTCCTGTCTACCTTCTCTGCCTCATGGCCCGGGTGCCAGCCACCCAGGGCCCTACGGGGCTGAGGGTCTGCTGGAGGCCCCAGGCGCCATCCAGGGGAAGGGCGGTTAGGGTGTCCTGCTGTCTGCCCCCAGCCCTGGTCCCTGTGTCTCCCTTCAAGCATACTCTAGACCCTCATCCCACTCCCACTCCAGCCCAGCCCCCGGAGGAGCCCAGCCTGTTGACTTGGTGAAATTGGACTAAGTCCAGCTCAAAGGAAGTATTTTGTGTCCTGCAAGAACCTTTTTGCTTTTTTCCCTTCCTTGTTTGAGTTAACCCTTTGTCTTCCCATGTCCAGAAAAGACCCCTCTTTTCTCTAGAGGCTTGTTTGTATGTGGCCAGAGGAAAGCCACAGCCCCCCAGGATGGGCCAAGGCAGAACCCCTCCCTGGGAGGGGAGCTGGCACTGTGGCTGGGCCCTCTCCAGCACTCCTGGGTGTGTCTGCCGCGTTCCCTTTCTCTTTCTCTTTCCTGTCCCTCCACATGAACACCTCCAGCACAAACATAAGCTCTTACTCTTTCCCGTTTCAGTGTTACCCGCACGCTTGATTCGTTTGTCTGATTTGTTGCCCGTCTCAGGATATTCACAGGCTGAGGATTAGGCTCCCCTCTCCAGCTGGGGTTAGAGACTTCAAACATTAATTAGCCACTTGACCCTAGCTTCTGTTGCTTCAGAAAGGGCTGTTATCCTCGAGGGCCCTTGGGCGAGGGCTAAGGCCTGCATCCTGAGCCCCTGGAAGCCCAGACCTCACTGCTGTGAACCCCGGGGCCTGACTGGTCAGAACTTGCTGCTGTCTTGTTGTGGATGGACAGATGGACGAATGGATGGATGAAGGATGGATGGATGGATAGCCATGGATGCCCAATGCCCTCCCTACACAAACTGCTGAGTGGAAGCATTTCAGTGAGCATGACAGCCTGCGACAAGAATATATATGTGTCTGTCTGTGTGGACAAAGTCTTTACACTTTAAGGTTTGGAAATATTCAAGACGAAATGTCACGGAGGCAGCGAAGCCAAGGCCAGAGCCACGTCTGGGTTCTGAATCTCAGGCTGTGTGAGGGGCTGTGCTTGAAGGCCCTGATGCATCATCTGTTTGGGCCTTGGTTCAATAAAGCACTGAGCAAGCTGAGTCACCAGCATTGTGTCCTGTGGGCCCCTGACAAGACCACGGCAGATGCTGATGGTGGGGTAGGGGAGCCGCAGGTCAGCGGATGGGGGCCGGAAGACTCCTGCAGAGGTGGCCTCTTCCCAAGGCAGCCTCTCTTCTCCTTCATGGGCTACTCAAGCACCTCTAACCTCACCCTTCCTATACTGCACCGAGTAACCAAAGTGACCCTGTCACTCCTCAAGAATTGTCAGTGGCTCCCCACTGCCCTCAGGATAAACTTAGAAGACTCCTGGCATGGCCCTTGAGGACCTCTCACCTCTTTTGACTCAAATCCTCACACCTTGCTCTTCACATTTTCTTCCTTTGCATCTGCTGCATCCAGGAATGTTCTCTCCCTGTTCTTCCTCCTTTGAGACTCCATTTCAAATGTCGTCTCCTCCCAGAAGCCTTCCTGCCCTGTCAGAAAACTGACTTTCCCCTCAGCGTCTCCAGCACACAGCAGAGGTTCCACCATCTAGGAGGATGCCAAGTTCAAGATCAAGAGAGTGGAAAGGGGCCAGTCTGGGAGAAGGGGTCCCAGGCCCCAACCTGGTGTCTCAGGAAGTTTCCTCAGAATACCACTGCAGGTGACCCTTGCCCCCAAATGCGAGTCTGTGATTGCAGGGCCTCCTTTGCACATGTACAGATAAGGTGCTGCCTGATACAGTGTGTATAGCTTGCGGGGCATCATTACCATTTTCTGTCAAAGTCCATCTACCTTCTGAAGTAGGTGGTGCTAATGATTATTCACTCCATTTTGCAGATGGGAAAATGGAGGCTATTTCCTATTAGAGCATTAAGGGACTCCAGATTCCCAGGCTGAGTCTAAATAGTGCCTGCCTTATCTCCGGCTTTTCCTCCAAGATTCTTATGCCTAAAGGCTTGGTCTTCCCTCTTGGTCCAGGCCCCCTGCAAGGGCACAATGGGTGGGGGCTGTTGGGGGTGTGACTTTGATGGTCTGGGGGCCTGAGCCTTTGCTCAGGGAGGGAGGGGCTCTGAAAGCTCTAGAAGCCCTCTCCACTGAGCGGGCAGCTGACACCAAGGACAGCATTTATGTGAGTAAGGGGACTTGCCCCAGAAAAAGGAAAATATCTGTGTAGACCCCTGAGGAACAGGGTGAAATAGGGAAGGAGAGAAAGCCCTGGGCACTGTCCTACTAAGATTTGTTTGCTCCACTCTGCTTAAATGGTCCCAGGAAGCCCCTCTCCCTCCTTCCTGGTTTTACAGAGGAGGAAGGCTGCTGGATGCGCAGAGAGGGCATGTGGTTGCCCCTAAGTCACACAGCAGATACAAGCAGAGCAGGCATTCCAGCTGCCCAGGGCTCTCCCACTCCTCATCTCCCACCCTGGTCCCAGAGCAGCCAAGCAGGTGGGGCTGGGTTGCCTGGCTTCTGCTCTGAGTGTCCTCTTTCCACCCCATGGGTCAGGGTCTGGCCACACGGGAGGAGGGAGCAATGGGTGCTGAGTGTCTAACAATGGCCAGGGTGTGTGCCAGGTGCTGACATCTGAGACTACACCTGTCCTCCTCCTATCTCACCATCAGAGCCATAGTTGTGGTCACGGGGCATTCAGACTGTTCCAGACACATACATGTCTCCTAAGCTTACCAGGTAGGTATATAGCTCATTTTGCAGGGGAAGAGGAGGAGGAGGCAGGGAGAGGGCCTTGATCAAGCCAAGACAAAACTTCCCCCAGAGAAGGTCCTGGTGCTCACATATACCCTGGCGGGGGTGGGCCTGAGACTGGGAGAGGGAATGCCAGAGGTTTGCCCTCCAACTCAGGAAGGACCCCATCGACCCCTGGGAAGCTCAGGGGAAGGGGCAGAGGTGCCCCAATCTCTCCTCCCCCTAGCACGAGAAGCTATAACTTCTTTCCTGGATGCTTATAAAGGGACGCAGATCAGGCAAGGAAGTGGTTTAAAATCCTGGGCCGCTGGCCAGTTTTAAGGGTTATTTTGCACGGGCCAGGGTGGGGCAGGAATTCCAGCCTGGGAGCAGCCATGTGCAGCCTGCTTCCATGGTTAAAGAGCCCCGTGGGGCCAAGCACAGGTGGGGAGCTGGCCTGTGCCAAGCTGACCAAGTCAGTGGGCACTGGTGGGCTATGGCTATCAGCTGAATTGCTCACTGGGTCACTTGCAAAAACAATTTTAAAAAATGTTTTCTTTTTAAATTGAAGAGTAATCCACGTCTTAAGCAGAGAGCACAGACCCGAGGAACCATTACACAGCTCAGGATAAAGGACCTTTCTAGAATCCCATGAGACTCTTTTGCTCCCTTCCAGTTGCCTGCACTCCAGGAGTCCCCACTGCTCTGACCTCTGTCAGGATAGATTTGTTTCTCCTGTTTTTGAGCTTCATATACATGAAATCATACAGTTCGTACCCTTACATCGGGCTTCTTTTACTCAGCATGATTTTGAGATTTATTTATGTTTCCCTTAGCGGTGGCTTGTTTTTGTTCATTGCTGTATAGTATTCCACTGTGTGGCTATACTCCTAAATTGAATTATTCATTCTACTTTTTTTCTTCTGATTTTTACATTAAAAAAATTAAGATACAGGGGTGCCTGGGTGGCTTAGTCAGTTAAGTGTCCTAATCTCAATTTCAACTTAGGTCTTGATCTCAGGGTCGTGAGTTCAAGCCCCACATTGGGCTCTACCCTGGGCATGAAGCCTACTTAAAGAATATATAAAATAAAGTAAAAATAAAGATACAATTTATATGCAGTGAAATTCACCCATGTGAGTGTATGGTTCTGTTCTGTGAGTTTAGACAAATGCATGCAGTTGTGTAAGCACCATCACAATTAGGTATAGAACATTTTCATTCTGCCCTTGATGAAATGATTTCAAATGGTACTGGCAATATACCTAGGAGTGGAAGTCCTGGGTCATAGTGTGTTCGCTCAGCTTTAGCGTTTTCTACCAGCAGAGTGAGAATTCTGTTGCTCCATATGCTCGTCAAAATTGATCGATTTTAATTTCTCTCTCTTAACCAGAAAACGTGATCATTGTATACAGCAAGAGCTCTGTTAAGTGCTGAACCTACGCGTTGTGCCACAGCAGCAAGGTTCAAGCCCAGCCTGTTTTCTGGCTCTCCTATATTGAAATACTAGTCTTATTTTTTCCCCCTCAAGTCAGATTCTTTAAAAAGTTAAAGTGACTCTTCAGAGTTAATTTGCCGGATGTCATTGGCTTGGGTCCATCCACTGACGACAGCCGTCTAGAAAACTTGGGATTTCTAAAAAGTCTTCATCCCTGGAATCGAACACATTGGCACCCACTTTCCAGAGGCAATAAAACTGTTAGTGCAGAAAGGAGGGATGTTTAGACAAGGAGGTCCACGGCCTCGTGGAATCTGGAAACAATCAGGAGAGGGAAGTTGAGTAATGACAGAGAAGTTGCTGTTCTACAGCCGGGAAAGCCAGGCCTTAAGAGAACGCCGGAGGATGTGGACTTGGTCACAGCCGATTGTTCAAAGAAGACAGTCGGTCATGGGACAGAAGGTAAGAAGCATTCCCACCCAACCCACACAGGAATTGGTGTGGGTGCCAGCCATGTGCCGCTAGGGCAGCCTCCGCCGCACCCAGCTGCTCCAGCACACGCCCCTGGGAGGCTGCCAGGCTCTGAGTCAGCGGCCTGGGGCAGCGGGAGGGGAGGAGGCCTCACGTGGCTGGGTCTGAGCCGCCTCGTGGGGCCTTCTGGCTGTCAGCCCTGCAGGAAGCTCGGCTGTTTGAAAGGACGAATCACACATGGCCACCTCCTCCTGGAGCCCAGCCAAGATGACTTCCATGGGGCCTGGGGCTCCCCGAGGGTGGGATGGAGCTCCCAGGGTTGGGTTGTAGAAGGTAAGCAGGGCAGGGGTTGGAGGAGGCTTATGGTCTTCTGGAATTTGGAGCAGGGGCTGAGCCAGCCCCTGGGGCCATTGTGTGGGGACAGGGAGGAAGGGGGACACACAAGGGGGGAGGGGCAGGCTGAAATCTACTGACATGCACATCTCCCTTAGCACATGGGTAACACCAGGAAAGTTACTTGAGCTCAGTGTGCCTTAATTTCCTCATCTGTAAAATGGGGATTGTAGAGGCCCTCCTTCAAAGGATAGCGGATTGGATCAAATGAATTAGTGTATGTAAAGCACTCAGAACAGAACCTATCTACAGTGAGTGCAATACAAGAGTTGGCCATGGCTGTTACTACTTAGGGCCAGTGTGAGGATGAAAGAACGGACAGGTAAAAAGGATAAGCCTGAAAATCATATTTTAAAAATATTTTATTTATTTCTGAGAGAGAGACAGCATGAGCAGGGGAGGGTCAGAGAGAGGGAGACACAGCATCCAAAGCAGGCTCCAGGCTCCCAGCTAGCCATCAGCACAGAGTCGACGCGGGGCTCGAACCCACAAACTGAGATCATGACCTGGGCTGAAGTCGGACGCTCAACGGACTGAGCCACCCAGGCGTCCCTGAAAATCATTTTAAAGGGGGGTCCAGACTGAGGCTTTTGTCCGTTTTCTGCACATTGGCTAGCCCCTAGGTGATGGGTTGTAGGAGAAGAGCCCAGCTGCTGTAGGTAGGCTGGTGGCCTACTGCACCAGTCCAGGTAGCAATTAGGAAGCTGTGGAACGGGATGTGGTGGAGACAGAGGAGGAAACCATCTGTGTGGCTGGTGGAAAGCGGCCTGCGCAGGACAATGCCGTGTCTGAGATGACCCAGGGGGATGGAAGGATGAGCCTTGCCTGAATTTAGTCCCGTTTATTCTACAGCAGCCTTGTCCACTTAATCTCAGCCTGCCTGGATTCTCAAAAAAGCAGATCCCTTCTTCCTCTTAGTTTGCTGCTCTACTCTGTGAGAAATGGCTAGACATCCTTATCAGGGAGCCATTCAAAAAATCCACTGCCTGGAGCTGGCAGATTCCACCCAATTGCCCTCCCCACATCCAGAAGTAGGTGGTGGCTCAACTAGTCTGGCTTGAGGACTCAGGGTCTGTAAAGGTCATCAGTAAGGGTTTCCAGCTGTCAAAAACCAATGGGGCTGTCCCCAGGGAGTGAGTTCCCTGTCTCTGGAGGTGTGTAAGCAGGACCTGGGGGTTGGTTTCTAATATCTGGGAGAAGCATCAGGGCTTCCCAAGCCAGGCTGCCCACCTGTGAATCAGGACACTGCTATGGCTTGGGTAGGTCCCGAACGGAATCTGCTTTCCAAGTTGAATCAGTTGAATCACTGTGCACACATCATAGTGGCAGGCACCAGGCTGCCTGCCACCATGGGGTAGGCCTCACCCTGACATGGGCAGGGAGTGGTGGAGGATGGGAGTGTGGGGAAGGGGCCCAATGCAAGAGGGTGCAGGCAACCCTTGACCCTAATTCAGAGGACCACTGAGCAGAGCAGGGCTAGAGAGTAGAGTGATGGGCACCTCTGCACACAGCCAGAGGGAGGAGAGGGGAAATGACAGGAAGCTGTGATCCTGAGCCACTTCTAGACAGGCGGGCCAGGCCCTAAATCCAGCCACCTTCTTTGTTCAAGCTCCTCTAATTTTTTTTTTTTGTAGTGCTTTATTTTACTTTTCTTCCTTCTCTCCTCAGTTTCTCTCTCTCTCTCTCTCTCTCTCTCTCTCACACACACACACACACATCTATCCATACACCACAAACCTACATCTGCACCTATTGTATGCCTGGCCCAGCCGCAATCTGTAGGGTACCCACTACGAAAGCCTCACACACGTGAACATGCAATGCACGTTGCCTCCATCACACTCAGACTGTTCCATTTTGTCTAGAGGACTGGTTTTATAACTCTGGGAAGCACTGGAAAGTTCAACCTGTCTGTCCCTCTGCCTCTGCCTCCCATCAGACCAGAAGACCCCACTTGCTTTCCGGTGCTAACCACTGCCTCTCCGACACCTTCTCCTATGCTGCCTCTGTATTAAGGGTTGTCAACATTTATTGATTTACCAAGTGCCTACTGTATGCCAGACCCCTTCACATGCTGCCTCACTTGGGCATGACTTAGACTGTATGTAACAGCAACCCCACACGGCTGTTTAACGAAATAAATGTGTGTGCTCCTCACTCAGCAAGAAGGCTCTACAGCATGTTGGGGGACCCCGGCTCCTTCCTGCCTCACTGTCCTCAGCTTCTGGCTTTACACCTGGAGATCATAGGTTGGCTGAAGGCTGCAAAAAAGTAGGGAATGGCACTTGAGTTTGCTCTGCTACTTATCAGGACACCACCTCCGTCCGGGTCCTCCATAGCCCTCCACAGTATTGGCTCAGGCTAGATTTTCACTGCTGTCTCCTTCACGTACCTCACACGACCAGCCCCTCGTGGCCTGGGACTTGGAGTGGACTCACTGCCTAAGGAATGGACAGAGGGGTGCCTGGGTGGCTCAGTTGGTTGAGTGTCTGACTCTTGATTTCAGCTCAGGTCATGATCCCAGGGGTGTGGGATTGAGCCCCGCATTGGCCTCCATGCTGAGTGTGGGGCCTGCTTAGGATTCTCTTTCTCCCTCTGCCCCTCTCCCCAACTTATACTCTCTTTCTAAAAAGTAAAAAATAAAAATACTTTTTAAAAAAAGGAATGGACAGAGGCTGGAATACCGTATTCCAGATGCCAGGTGGCCCCAAGCAACCACAGCCCTTGGCCAGCTCCCTGCTGTAATCAGCTGGCAGACACGGGTCCTGGCTGAGCGCGATAGGGACTAGCAACCAGGAACTGAGCCAACATGACTCCAGTCTTGTGACCAAGTTCTCACAAGGTCTCTGGGCCTGCCCCTCCATCTACAAATGTATTTTATGTTGTAACTGTGTTCAAAATGCCCATATGCCCTAGTCAGACCCTGGCCATTTCCTGTAGCCTTCCTTCGGTGCCGCCCTGCCCTGGTCCTACGGCCAGTGCATGCCTTGCCCTTCGAGAGTCCTGGCTCCAGGGTCCCCACCTCAGCTGCCCCGCTCTTCATTTCTTCAGTCACCAGAGAGTGTGTTCTTGTTGGCTCCAGGCCTACTTTGTGCATGGCCCTGGGGAGAGAGCATGTGTGCCATGGCCTGGGTATACCCCATGGAGACATCACCACCACAGGCTGACGTCAACAATGGGTGCATAGAGAGCAGCCGAATGCTAATGGGTGGTCCAGGCAAGAAGGCTTCCCCTAAGTTTTGGTCTGAGCACATTTTGAAGGGGAAAAAAAGGGGGAAAGAAAGGGCATTCTAGGCTGAGGGAACAGCCAGCGTGGAGGCTCTGAGGCCCAGAACACTGGGAGGCTTGAGGGGTTCACTTGCCAAAAGGCAAAAGTACATACATGAGTGGGGATGCCCAGGGTAGGCAGTGAGGCTAAGCCAAGACCTTGCAAGGACCCCAAACACCTTTGGGCCAAGCCTCTAATTGGGGCCTAATTGAGGCTGATGGCTGGCAATGCCCCTTTCAGGCTGAAAGAATAAGTCTCTTCATTACACCTTTGACAGCTTTCCTCAAAGAGGGGTCAACCTGTTAAGAGGTGGAAGTGCAAAAGGAAACTGATCAGCCTACTAAACCCTTCACTGGGGTCCAACGAAGTGACTCACCCAGGTACACACAGCTAGTGACAGGGTGGGGTGGGGGTGGCGGACGGGCATAAATTTGAATCGTTCTACTCGAAACTGAACCCTAGTCTTAACTCACCTCAGGAACCCACAACCCTAAACCCTCACCGACGAACTGCCTAAATATGCATCTTTGTCCTGAAGTCACAATTTCCAAAAGTAAAGCCCAGGAACCCGCATTTTAACAAGCACCCCAGTGACTCCCACGCGTACTGGCCAGTTTGAGAACCAGCCCTGCACCGTTAGGCCCCGTGAGCTTCAGAAGGCTCGCAAGGGCCGCGGGAGTCCGAACCCCTCCCGCCGGCAACTCCACGGCTGCCCGGTTTTTTCCGGAAGGTTCACACGCCGGGCCGCTGCGCCCCCTTGCGGTCGCTGGGGACTGTGGCCTGGAGCTCGGCTGGTCCAGAGGCTCCGAGTGGCAACCCCTACACCCTGTCTGGGACTAACGGACATGGGCCTCGCAGGGAGCTCGAAGCAAGGGGTCTTTGGTAGGAGGGCAAAAGCAGCCCTCGCCGAGGTTCCGGGTGTCAGAACACTGTCCCTCCCCGCTCCGGCCGTCCGGGCTCCGCCCACCTTGAGCGCGTCATCTCGTGCGCGCTCTCGCGGCCGGCGTGCGCAGGCGCCCAGGGACCTTGCAGCCGCCATTGGTCTCTCGCTACCGGTTCGAGCGGCCGGTTAGCAGAGGTCCGCAGGCGGGGAGGGAAGGGTGAGTAAGACACCTGGAGGACAGCGGCCCCGGGGCTCAGGGACAGCACACTCAGGGCGGGGTGCCCTGCTTAGGTCTGTCTGACTGGAGCAAGGAACTACAACCCCCCAAATGCACTGGGCCACGGGGTTGCGCGAGGCAGTGACGTGAGGGTTTTTGTAGCTACCATTTGTCTGTGGGTAGGGGGGACGTGGTGGCGGAGGCTGATGACGCACTTTTTGCCGCTGGAGGGTCACCGGAGGTCAGTGCCAGGTCAGCTGGTTCTCGCCCTCAGAGCGCCTTCGCGAACCTTCCTGCTTGGCCACTTTAAACGATCTTTTTGCCCTTAATTAGAGATGACAGATACTTGCTTACTGTGTACCCGCTACCTTTCCATCCCTGGCCGGCCACTGAGCCAGCCAGACACCCTTGTTATTAGCATCATTATTATTTAGTAGTCTTTATTTTATATATACACATATATATATATATTTTTAACTTTTTAAATGTTTTTATTTTTATTTCTGAGAGAGAAAGACAGCGTGAGCAAGGGAGGGTCAGAGAGAGAGAGAGGGAGACACAGAATCTGAAACAGGCTCCAGGCTCTGAGCTGTCAGCGCAGAGCCTGATGCGGGGCTGGAACCCACCAACCGTGAGATCATGACCCGAGCTGAAGTCGGTCGCTTAACCGACTGAGCCACCCAGGCGCCCCTAGTAGTCTTCTTTTTAAGTAATCTGAAACTTACAGAAAATTTCAAGAGTTTCTTATAAAGAACTACTTCATACCCTTTGATAATTAAGTTAGCTGCAGACACGATGCTATTTTAGTTCTGTGTTTGGGGGGGTTCAGTGTTTATTATCTGAAAAGGAGAACATTCTCCCACATTCAAAATTAGGTAACATTGGTCAAGACTATTACCTAAAATGTTTCCAGTTGTCCTAATAGTGCTGTATGTTGAAACTACTCTTTTATTGGCTGCTCCCCCCTCCATCCCTCCTCTGCATTCAGCTGACTCTCTTTAGTCTTCTTCAGTGTGGAGCAGCTCCCCAGGTTCCCTTGACTCTCATGCCTGACACTGAAGATTCCTGGCCATTTGTTTTGTAGAGCTGGGTTTGGGGTTGTCTAAGATTTCTTCACTTGATCTTAGCAAAAAGGCCAAGCAGCGATTGAGATTTCTTCACCGTTTGACTCTGTTGCGGGCAGAAGTGCTGCTGACCCGACACCTTTATTCAGAGGTGGGAAGCGTCTCTTGAGTGGCTGAGGAGCACTAGTGACATGCTGCCCTGTGGCTGCCCTGTAACTTTAACACTCATCTCACCGAGGTCTCTGGCTTCCCCATAGTGCCCACCGTGGAGCCATGGTCCACGCCTTCCTCATCCACACCTTGCGGGCTCCACAGGCCCAGGACACGGGCCTTTGCCGAGTGCTGTACTCCTGCATCTTTGGTGCCGAGAATTCACCTGATGACCCACGGCCACATGGTGCTGAGAGGGACAGGCTCCTCCGAAAGGAGCAGATTTTGGCTGTGGCCAGGTAACACACGGGCCTTCATTGAACACATGCCTGATTATGATGGCTTTTCTGCAGGGCACAGAGAATCATACTAAGAAGCGGAGAGAATGTTTTAGAGTAGTGTTGGCACAGAGAATCATACTAAGAAGCGGAGAGAATGTTTTAGAGTAGTGTTTCCACGAGCTGTCCTCAGTTGTTCACAAGTGTTATGTGAAAAAGGGTTAAAGAAATAATAGTGCGGTCGTCATCGTTAATTGTTATAGTTACCATTTATTGAGCCTGTACATATGTGCTGAGAGTTTTATGTTCTGAGCATTTCATGTATATGAACTCATTAATCCTGTAACTGTCTATTGAGATAGGTACAGCTATTATTCCTACCTTACAGATGAATAAACTGAGGTACAGAGACTTTAAGGAACTTAATCTGCCCAAGGTTATGTAGCTAGAACATGGCAGAGCTGGGATCTGGGTGTAGGCAGATCCCGGAACAGCTTTGCAGTGCAGGACTTCTCAGGGCTGTTAGTATGCCTGTAGGCTTTATGAATCCCTGAGGAGGAGAGAGAATGTGGTACATGGGAATTCTGAACCCAGAGCCTCCTGAAAACCACTGAAAGAGCACTGTGTGGGAAATACTGTTCCAGATGTAGGGGCTGGCCTTAGACCTTTCCATCCCAGACCCAGACAGAGCCAGCAAATGCCAGAATCTCTTGACCTCTCTGCCTTTTGTGTTCAGGGATTAACATTCTCGGGCACCCCTTTGTTAGTCTCTTGCCATCCCCTTGTTCCTCTGGGCCTCCACCCGCCTCCTGTGGCACAGAAAATCAAATGCCTTTAAAACCAGCTTGCGCATGGCCCAAATTAGAAGATGATTCAGGAGGGATCAGAGAGTGATTTCAAAAGCCTCAGGGGTCAAGTGGAAGGTCTTTCTTTTTCATTTGAAGACGGTTGCAGGATGGTGGTGGAGAGGTTGGACAGGCCAGTTGAACACGGCTTTTACTGCATTTCTCATGTTGTGTTTCTTTATGTTAAGGAAGCCTCTGTGAAGCTGATGAGGGCATCTTTTCCCCCTGGTGCCCTTTCCTGGCCCAAGGAGCTGTGTTCAAAACCTGCCTTCTCTTGAACACATGGAGTGAGATGGTTCAGGGCCTGGAGGCAGGAGCCTGGATTCCTGTCATGGCTCATGCTTCCTGCTCTGTGGTCCTGGGCAGGTCACTTAGTTTCTCTGGGCCTAAGTTTCTATATCTGAGATAGGAAGTTAATAGCAGCTCTCAGTTTTAGGGGTGGGCATGCAGATGACAGAAGGCAGTGACCCACCCACTCTTCCCAGGCAGGTGGAATCCATGTGCCAGCTGCAGCAGCAGGCGTCTGGCCGGACCTCCGTGGACCTACAGCTTCAGTCCTCAGATGAGCCAGTGCCCCTTCAGGAGGCCCCGCTTGGGGCCTTCCGCCTGGCAGCCGGGGACCCTTTCCAGGAGCCTCGGACAGTGGTGTGGCTGGGTGTGCTCTCATTAGGCTTCGCCCTGGTGCTGGACACCCACGAGAACCTGCTGCTGGCTGAGGGCACTCTCCGGCTGCTGGCACGCCTCCTCCTGGACCACCTCCGGCTGCTTACCCCCAATACCAACCTCTTGCTTAGGGCCGATCGCATCGAGGGCATCCTCGCCCGCTTCCTGCCCCATGGTCAGCTGCTCTTCCTCAATGACCAGTTTGTCCAGGGTCTGGAGAAGGAACTCAGTGCTGCCTGGCCCCGCTGACCCCTCACTGGGATGGGGCTTCCTGGGAGGCAGGGAAGGAGGACGGGGAAGGATGGACACACAGCCAGGTGAAGCTTGGCATCGGCCTCCTTCTCAGCCGGCTCCCAGCTCTGCTGTGCTGCCGCATCCAGGACAAGTGGATGGGACAAACTGGCAGAAAAGAGGGCGGGCAGAGGGTGGTGAGGAGGAATCCCAGAACATCCTGTGCCCGGAGCTGCCTTGTGACGTGTTTCAGACTGCTCTAGAGGGCCAGCCCCCCCGTCCTTGACCCCAGTTTCTCCCATCCCCGGCAGCCAGCCCCCAAAACAGTCCACCAGTTGCTAGTGTTGGAGCATGAGGAGTGGAACTCAGCCCACTTTCTCCTTCCAAACCCACAGTCCTCGCAGTGCAGAAGGAACCTGAGACTCCCAGGGTGGAGGAGCTGGTTGCTGTATTTGTACCCACTTAGGCAGCATTATCAACAAGGATTTTGTCAGTGAGGGCCTGCTCGAGGTCCAGCCCCACCACAGTTCACAAATGTGTCGTTCATTCAGCAGGGGGATTCTGTAGCACTCTTTGGGGCCAGCCCTTGCCCACCAGGCAGCCTCAAGATAATCATGGGTTTCCCTTGTCTGCAGGGAGAGAAGGTACCATTAGGTGGGTGCAAGAAGTTTAGCCAGGATGAAGTTGTCTTTCTTGTTTTGAATTAAAAGCATTCGTTGTGTGATTGCATTCTCTGTTTCATATTTGCATAATGCATATTTGCTCCTATGAGTATGTGCCACTTTGGCCCTGAGCTGGGTATCTAAGCTTTCATGATCAAAGATGCCCCTGAGAAGCATCTTGGGAGGTCTCCGCCTCTTGTGCCACATATCAACCCCTGTCTCCTAATGTGCCCCCTTTGGATGGTAGTACTTGTTTCTTTCACCAAAATGTAGTGGGTTGGTGTGGATCTCTGAGAAGCAGAGCTTAAGACAAGGATTAGTTACAAGCAGTTTACATGGGAGGTGATTCTAGGAAGTACTGGAAGGGGAGGCAGCCCATTCAAATACATTATCAAGGATGGGTAGGGAGCTTAGTGCCTCTGGGGGCCTGTAACAGCAATCACTTCTGAGTGACCTTGCTTGAGGGGTGAGGGACTGAGGATGTTTGTCTGCCATTCTCTTAAGTCAGTGGTTGTGAGTTGGTCCTAAGGCAAATTCCCTGGCTCTTTCTGCCCCCAGAAAAAAGTGTGGTGCTGGGCCTGGCTGCATGATGGTCAAACCCAAAAGGATACAGGTGGGGCAACAAACTCCTGTTTTGGGTCTTTAATCAGCAGCTGGTGATTAAAATGGTGGTTTAAAATGATTCAATTGGGGATGCTGTCTCTTAAGCCTCCAACACTTGGTTTCAGTTCAGATCATGATCTCTTGGTTTGTGAGCCCCAAGTCGGCCTGCTTGGGATTCTCTCTCCCAGTCTCTGCCCCTCCCCTATTTGTGTGTATGCATGCGTTCTCTCTCTCTCTTTCTTTCTCATAAGTAAATGTTAAAAAAAAACCAATTCAACTGGAAAAAAAACCCATTTCTTTATTCTTAACTGCCAATATCACACTGTGTTGATTACTGTTACTTTATATAGTCATAGGTCTTCAATGCAGATGGTGTCAGTTCTCCAACTTTGTTCTTCTTCAATAGTGAGTTGGCTAGGGGCACTGTGGGGCCCAGTCAATTAAGCTTCCTGACTTTGGCTCAAGTCATGATCTCATGGTTCGTGGATTCGAGCCCCACATCTGGCTCTCTGCTGTCAGCGCTGAGCCCACTTTGGACCCTCAGTCAGTCTGTCTCTCTCTCTCTCTCTCTCTCTCTCTCTCTCTCTGCCCCTCCTATGCGCGCGTGCTCTCTGTCTCTCTCAAAAATAAAAAATAAAAGTATTTAAAATTTTTTACAGGGCGCCTGGGTGGCTCAGTCGGTTAAGCGTCCGACTTTCGCTCAGGTCATGATCTCGTGGTTTGTGGGTTCGAGCCCCGGGTCGGGCTCTGTGCTGACAGCCAGCTCAGAGCCTGGAGCCTGCTTCAGATTCTGTGTCTCCCTCTCTCTCTGACCCTCCCCTGCTCACGCTGTCTCTCCCTCTCTCTCCTAGAAATAAATAAAACATTAAAAAATGTTTTTAAAGCTTCTCTTTTCTTGCCATTGACTATGATGTTGGCTGTAGATTTTTTGTAGATCATTCTGTATTAAATTAAGGAAGTTTCCCTCTATTCCTAGTTTGCTGGGAGTTTTTTTGTTTTTTATCATGAAGGGATGTTAGATTTTGTCAAATGCTTTTTCTGCATGTTTTTATGACCGTATGACTTTTCTTTTTTAGTCTGATGGATTGATTACATTAACTGATTTTCAAATGTTGAACCAGCCTTGCACACCTGGAATAAATTCCACTTGGTCATGGTGTATAATTCTTTTTATACATTGTTGGATTCTATTTGTTAGCATTTTACTTCTATGTTCATGAGCAATAATGGCCTGTAGTTTTCTTATAATATCTTTGTCTGCCATTCTGTTTCCCCTACTATCCCAAAGGATAATAGCTTTCTATATTTTCTACATACCTACCTCTCTTTATACAAATACAAGCAAATATGAACTTGGGTTCTTATTCTACTTCCTGCCTGCACTGTTTTCTTACACAATAGGTCAGCCTGATACAAGGTTCTTCAGGTGCTTGTTTCACTGAACAAACAGTGTTGCCTGGTGATCTTTTCATAGCAGTACATAGGATTCCTATTCTTTTTTAAAGTGTATTTATTTACTTTGAGAGAAATAGAAAGAGGGGGAGGGGCAAGGAGAGAGGGAGAGAGAATCCCAAGCAGGCTCTGCACTGACAGCTCTGATGTAGGGCTTGATCTCACAGTGAGACTATGACCTGAGCCGAAATCAACAGTTAGACGTTTAACTGACTGAGCCATCCAGGTGCCCCTTATTCTTTTTTATTCTTATCCATTATATGAGTATATTATAGTTCACTTAGCAGATCTAAGAATTACTGAAATATTTCATGTTTATAAAACAGTAATAAGAATCATATAATCTAAGTAGCCATCATTACACTTAGAAAAGCATTAACTCGTTAATTTCTGCCATTTTTATTAAGTCCTATTTTCTTTTTCTTTTTTTTTTTTTTAATTTATTTATAGGAGAGAGACAGCGTGAGTAGGGGAGGGTCAGAGAGAGAGGGAGGCACAGACTGAAACAGGCTCCAGGCTCCGAGCTGGCAGTCAGCACAGAGCCCGACGCAGGGCTCGAACCCACGAACCGTGAGATCATGATCTAAGCGAAAGTCGGATGCTTAACCGACTAAGCCACCCAGGCGCCCCTTAAGGTTTTTATTTTTAAATAATGTCTCCACCCAACGTGGGGCTGGAGCTCACAATCCTGAGATCAAGAGTCGCACACTCCACCAACTCAGCCAGCCAGGTGCCCGAGTTATATCTTTAAAAGCCATTGTATTTCATTGGTTTTGTTCTCTGTAGGGATTCCAATGGAGCACTAGTGGGCTCTCCTTTTTCTGTTATCCATGGCTTCTTTTTTCCCCTAATCCTTTTTTAAAAATTACTGTTGTTGAAGTATAATTGACATACAATGTTATATTGGTTTCCCTGTACAACAGAGTGATTCAACAGTTCGATACATTATGCATTGCTCCCCACAAGTGTAGATACCATCTGTCACCATGTGACATTATTACAATATTATTGACTATATGCCCTATCGGTATTTTTCATCTCCATGATTTATGTATTTTATAACTAGAAGTTTGTACCTCTTAATTCCCTTTATCTGTTTCACCCATCCCTTCTCCACCTAATCCTTTTAACACCGCAGATCCCTGAAAGCATCAGAAAAGGAAATGACTTCCTCAAGATGTATCTCTTATTTTCCAGTAGGAACTATAGTGCAGAGCCTCCACTGGACCCAGTTTAGCTTAACCTAGGAGAGAGCCTGCAGGTTATGAAGTTCTTGAGGCTCAGCTGTGTGACTCAGACCTCTGCCTTCGGGATGGTTCCAGGTCCTCCACTCTGTGGAGTTGGTGCATCCTTTAGTATTGCAATGGCAGCTGCTCCAGCCCTCATCCCACCTGCAGTGGGACACTGAGCACTGCCCCAGCATGTCATATGTGTCTCTGAGGCATCACTTCTTGTCTTCTCGGCTTCTGGGGTGTCAGGCTTCCTTGGGTCTCAAGACATGTGGCCCCTGTCTTCCCCTGCGTACCGTGTCTGCCCAGAGTCCGAATGCATGCTCTTTCCCTTGATGCCCCCCCAAATCAGGCATTTGTGTGGTAGCAAACTTTTACTGAAGGTTAGGGGATAGAGAAGAGTTATCCTAAAGAACAGAGCAACAAACTTAAGATTGATTTTTAGGCATTCCTGTTCTCGGAGTCTCTAGACCGCTTCCCCTAGAGAGATATTCTCACTCCCAGTTCCTCTGGGAGCCTCAGCCTCCGCTCAACTTTCAGGCTGCTCCCTTCTTTTTATTAAAATTTGTATTTCTTCTTTTTATTCTAAAGTATACGTAACATAAAATTGACCATTTTAACCATTTTAAGTGTACAATTTAGTGGCATTAAGTCCATGCACAATATTGTTTGTTTCCAGCATGTTTTCTTCTTGTGAAACAGAAACTGTACCCATTAAGCAGTACCTCCCCATGCTTCCTTCTGTGCTCTCTGTTCCTCGCAGCCTTATTTCATTCCTGTTCATCCACCTGTCCTGGTCATACTGAGCACTGTAAGGCCTCATTGCCCACCCAGCTTTGTTCCAGGCCTACCTGTTGATAGCATACCTGTGCCCACTTAAAAAAGAGAAAGAAAAAGACTGTTCTGGGGCTCCATCTGCAGCAACTCAAAGCACATTTTCTTTCTTTTTTTAATTTAAGTTTATTTATTTTGAGGGAGAGTGAGAGAGCACAAGCAGAGAAGGGGCAGAGAGAAGGAGACCAAATCCCAAGCAGACTCCACACCATTGGTGCAGAGCCCAATGTGGGGCTTGAACTCACAAACCCATGAGATCATGACCTGAGCCGAGATGAAGAGTCAGATGCTTAGCCAACTGCGCCACCCAGGCGCTTCTCAAACCACATTTTCAGTGTTCTGTTTTGAACTCAGAAACTCATAGGACATGGCTTCCTTCCCCACTAAAGTCTGTAATCTGAAGGGGATCATAGAAAGATGTATCCTTCCAGATATGAATTATATATTCCCCTTAAGAAGCAGACATAGCTGTTTTAATTTATCAGTTTTTTCTGGCCCCCTCCATCCATCACATGTTTATTTTTGTATTATTTAGTTTAATGTTTCTTTTTCCCATCAGATTATGACCTCCAGGAGGATTTACATTATGTCTCTTGTTTTCTAGTTAAACATAGCACCTGGCACATAGCAGGCATCCAAAATTATGTTAAACAAATGAATGAATGCATGAACGAATAGGTTGTTTATAAGAGAACCTTGGGGCCAGGGAGTCTGCAACATCACCGTGTTTCAACTTTTTCTTTCTCCTGGGAAAGCAGACAGAAACAACAGACTGCCTCTGTTATCTCTCAAGGATGGTAGGCCCAGGACCACATGTCCCTCTCCCAGATGATAAGCTACTTGTGACAGCAAAGGAAGCAATATGCAAGTTTCCTGTTTCAAGCCCCCTGCGTTCAGAACTTCTGCTGGCTTGCCTTCTACACTGCTGTTAACGTAAAGGAATG